ATGTTGACTGTATGTATGTATGTATGTATGTATGTATGTATGTATGTATGGCATTTATATTTAAATTTTTGGATTTAAATGTCGAGAAAGAGAAAAACAAAGAAATAAAGACAGAACGAAGGAAAGAAAGAAAGAAATAAATAATACAAAAAAACAGAAAAACATAAAAAAGAGTGAAATATAGCTAGCTAGCTAGCTTGCTTGCTTGTTTGCTTGCTAGTAGATAGATAAGTAGGTAGATAGGTAGGTAGGTAGGTAGACAGGCAGCAGGTAGGTAGATAGATAAATAGGCACATAGATAGATGAGTAGGATGAGATCGACTCATACACACATACTCTAATCTACGTGTTGCCTACCTTTTTGTTGCATAGGGTGTATGTCGTGTCCTAATGCTCGCTTGTTGTACGAAGTTGAGTGATGTTTCAGCAGAACTTGGATACGAGAGATGAGATCCAGAGAGGCCATATCCTGACCCAATAGCCCAGATGCACGTACAGACGGCTTGGGGGCCAAAGGCATAGTCTTGCAGAACTGGCAACAGCTTGTTTCACTGCTTGCCGAGGCAACCCCTGAAGACTGTGGAGTTGCTGACGAGCTTGTCTTTTGCCTCATTTATCGGAGCCCCAACCCGATAAAACACACCTGCGTTGCGGATGTTCGTCGTTCAGACTGCGAGGCTGCGAGAACGCCTGGAAGTCAATGCCTTCCACCATGCCACGGTCTTGAGCGCCTATGCCAGGGCTGTCTGGTGGAAGGAGGCCGTCGTGGCTCGGCTTCAGGTGGGATTTACGGGTGTCCAAAGACGGTCGAAGTTCGAAGCAAGGCGCTGCTGAGCTCATTGCCGGGCGGCGACCATGCCCGGAAGCTGAGACGACCGAGGGGCGATCCCTGGAGGGGGGGCCACTCCGGGACGTGTCCGAGGTCTGTGAGAACGCGACGCTGGCGGCCTGCAGCCGAGCGCTGGCATGGGCGGCGCTTCTGCAGCTCTTGGAGCAGCGCCGCGCTCCTCCCGAAGATGCAGCAAGCAGCCCGGCCTGCAGCCTTCAGCCCCCTTCCCTAGGCTGTTGCCAGTGTCTGTCTACGATCTCTCTTGTATTCGGCGGGTGCGCGCTGGAAGGAACTCCGTGCCTGCCTTCGTGCAAGTGTGCAAGTCGAAAAACAGCGACATGCGGGGCGGAAAATCCCAATAACAAACCTCCGCCTTGCGGACAACTGCGTCTGCAACAGGCGGCGAGGTTCCCTTCTTCGGTCCGTGCCGCTAGTCTAGTGGGGTAGAAGGCTCTGGCAAAGCTCTCACTCCCATGGGGGCTTTCTGACCTTGAGGAACTGCTTTATGTTGGACGCCTCGCCGGCATTGCCCGAGATTGAGAGACCAACCCTTCCCAAATTCTAAACCCTAAATCCAAGGTGGCTTGATTGGTTGGTGAATGAGCTGGGAGCCCCCAGTCTCGTGCAAAGGCTCTTGATTTAGCTGGGTATCTGTATTCTTGCCTTCTTGTGTTCCTAGCTTACCTTCGCACCTGTTAGAACAAGAGCTTATTCCGTGAGACAGTGCGAGCGTGCGAGTCTAAGTCCAAGAAATGCGAGAGTCCAAATCCAAGAAGTGGCTGGTTGTACATCTCCGCAATGCGACCCCTGACAGTCTACTTGGCAGGAGGCAAAAGCCCGGGACCTGAAACTGCGCAGAATGTGCTTCAAAACCTTACGACTACTGTGACCAACGACATTTGCGACTACCACGACTATGCTACCACGGCTGCGGCTACCACGGCTACGACGACGACCACGACGACGACCACAACAACCACACCACGACAACCACAACAACCGCACTCAACAACCACAACAACCACAACAACAACCACAACAACCACAACAACCACAACGACCACCGCCACGACCGCCACGACCTCGACGACCACGCCGACCACTTCGACAAGACGACGAAGACAGCGGCTACCACCACCACCACCGCCGCCACCACCACCACCACCACCACCACCACCACCACCACCACCACCACCACCGACGCTGACCCAAGCTCCTACTTCTGCTGCGTCCGGCCGACCCAAAAGGGTGAGCAGCAAGGGTAAAGAAATGTATCGACGAGTTTTATCTCTTTTCACACTGCCCTGGCCCTGGCCAAGGTTTCCACACAATTATCACTGCACTCGGCAGAACTTCACGCTGGGCAGACGCCTTCGAGCTTTTTCGATGCATGGCAGTCCGGAGGCATCACAAGTGACCTAGGATGTGCATAGCACACGTAGTTCTTGGATCGTACTAAAAGAACTGGGGTGCATCGCATGCTGCCGCCTCTGCTTCTGCCTTCGAAATCTGACATCATCGTCGACATGGCACGGGCTCGATCGTATGGCCACTGCATGCATGTGTCATCCATGTGGCGCTCGAGGAACTTTGTCTCACATGAAATAAAGCAGGCATCTTCTCAGCGCAGTCGCCAGCATGTGCATAATATGCATTATCTGCAATCGTTTTTGCCGGCTAGGCAGCAGCCGACAGTCCTTTCCTACAACTCAGCGATGCGGAGCTGCGCGGACGGAGACCTGCCTATTTTAGTGAGCAGTGGTCAGCGCCACGGTCGTTGGGTCACCGTCTCACTAGGCGATGCTGGATGAAGTGTTGATCATGTTGGCACGTCGTGCTTCATCTTGCACGCGGGGAAAGGTGTTTGCACTTTCTTGGGCACATAGCCGGCTCAAAATGTGACAGGAGGTCCGGAGACAGAGGTCAAAGACTGACCGGCACTGATCTGGGCTATCCTAGGCTGGACCAGCCAGGCCCTTGACTCAGGTGTCTCTGGTTTCACACCATGGCAGAGCCGGCGCCAGATGTCCGTGCAGAGCGGGAGGGCGGCGAGGACACTGAGACGGAAGGGGAGGAGGATGAGGCGGAGGCGCCGGATCCTGAAGAGATGCGGGCGGCCCTGGGCGGCGTCGCCACGGGCTTGGCCGAGCAGCTCACGACGATCACCCAGGAGGTGAACAAAATTCGCGAGGAGCTTTACGGTGACAATGGCATCGGTGGCATCGCACAAGAGCTTGAGAAAATGAAAGCCGGAAGCCTCGGAAACCTTCTCGAGGACACAGACCTTGGTGACCTTCCTATCTCCGAAGGTGTGAGACAAAGGGCGAACGCAAAGCAAGACACCAAGCCAAAGGGCACGGGCCCGCGTCGAGGAGCTCCTTTCTCACTAGAGCGCGAGCGGAAGCTCGAGGAGCTGAAGCGAAGGATTGAGGACCGGCAAACACGAGAGAAGAAGCCCGAAGGGCTTGGCTTCATGGAGTGGCTCGTGATCATCTTCGTGATGTTCGTGATCGCCTACACCGCACTGCCTTCCTTCCGTGTACAGGTGAGACAAACGTTTCAAGAGCTTGTTCTCGGTGAGGTGCCAGAGGCAGTGGAAGAGGTGCAAGACTTCGGTGCCGTGGTAGAGGAAGACACAGACTCCTTCTTTTGAGCTGGTGCCTACTGGTTCCAATTTGCATGAACTTACGGATACCTTCGCCTCGAAGGGGTAAAAGGCCGCGAGAGAAGCATGCTTTTCAATCAATGGGGTCGGGGCGCTTTGCATCAGCGTGTGCAGCAGGAAAGAGCTGGCAGCTGTCACTGCTGCTGTACACCGAGCTGCAGCAGGAGGGATGTGCTAACCAAGCCAGCATCCTGGCTGCCGTTAAGTCATGAGGCTATCGTGTGGTCATGAAAGGCCATTCAAGCTATGCTATCGCGATTCTGCCACGCTGAGTTCTGCCCTCCTCGATGGGGGCAATTGTGTCAAGCATTGTGTCAAGCATTGCTTGAGGGTGCTTGCAGTTCTGCTTTCTTTGTTGGGGGTTTCTCTAGCAAGGTCACCACTTGTCCATCAGCGCCTGCAGTCTAGCTAGCCATTGGCAGGGCGCTGTTCCTTGGTTCAAATCAGGGAGGATTGAAACATTGCCGAGTGTGGACCCAAACAAGCGTGCAGTCGAAGCTTTAGGTCTTCATTCTGAGTTCTATGCCCATGTACGGCTTCGATCGCACAGTCGTCGCTTTTGCAGCAGCAATGCACCTTGTCACCACGGGGCATGGTCCTGCAAGACCTGAAGACAAGTCTGTTTACAATGGCTCGATATTCGTTGCTCAGGGGGGCTTGCGAGCGGGCATTCCGGTGGCGAAGAGGCTTGCAACTCCTTGGCCGCTCGTCCAGGACAAGTTTGTGGAACCATTCTCAGCAATTGCTGCTTCGTATCTTCCACCTTCTCGATGCGCTCGAAGCGACGTTTCGAAGCGACGCTTCTGTCGCAGGCTGGCTATCTGCATCAAGGCTGCAATTGGACGCCGTGGCTCTCAGCATCGGAATCACCACAGCGGGTCGATCCAGCAGGACTGGAGACGCACTGGTCTTTGCATGATCTTGGGCCAGTTGGCTCGCGGATGTGTGAAGGTGGCAGCTCTGCATGGAGTTGCTCGAGGATGCACGGGAGGCTGTCCGACTGCGAGCGCAAAAGAAGCAGGATGCATCACCTCAAGGGCCGTTGCCGCGTTCTGCAGGCAGAGCTTCAAACAGACATCGTTTGTGCAAATGCTGCCATTGCAGCCTGTGCGGTGCCTAGTCAAGCACGAAGAGCCTTCGTGAATCAGGGCGTTATTCTACAAAAGGTGCTGCTGGAACTGCATGGCAGCATGCCCTGTCCTTGATCGGGCATGCGCCTTAGTTGCTTAGTTCGATACAGGCTCTAACCTGCAGATGAAGACGTCTCCAGCTGTGCAAACATGTCCTTCAACCTCTGCGCCCAGGTTGTCGAACCCAGACGGGATGACCTACGCTGCTGCCATCAATGCCCTCAGCAAAGGCACGCGGGATGCTTGACCCCGCTTTATGAAAGAAGTCGGAACACTGCAGCGTTGCAGATCCCACTTGTAAGAGTCAGGTGGCTTATGGGCCCATGCGATCCGGTTGCTGCAGGGGGCAGCAAGACGGCCACAAGCTTATCCTTGTGCTTTATGTATTGCCACAAGTATGTCAGGAGGCTATGTGTCGTTTCCTACGAACCCGTCTGAATTATCAAAACAAGCCAGGGCGTTGTTGCTTTGACAGGAACTGCCTTTTCTCGCAGGTGATTTCGAGTGAGAGAAGGATCTGTCAGCAAATCACTCCCGACGGGTAAGCGGGTGACCTGTGTCTTTTTTTCTGTGTGAGTTGTGTGTTTTTGTCTGTGTTTTTGTCGCTGTTTTGGTGTCAGGTCAGGGAATGGCTTCCTGTTCCCAGGTTTGCGCGTTATCTGTGTCTTTTTTTGTGTTATTTGTGTCTTGTTCTTGTTGCGCCATCTGTGCCATTGTGTCCTGGATTTTCGGTGTCTTTTGAAACACTTTACGTGCAGAGTTGTTGAACCGGAATCTCCAAATGAGGCGGCATGTTTGAGACCGGCATATACCGGCATCGCCCAATCGGGGGGAATCGCCAAATGCGGGGGCGTGTTGAAGATACATATATGATGAACCGGAAACGGCCCAGTGGGCGGGGTGTATGATGAACCGGAATCGCCAAATGAGGGGGCGTGTGTAAGATGTATGACGAATCGGAACCGGAATCGTATGATGAACCGGAATCGCCCAATGAGGGGGCATGTTGATTATTAAAGAGGATGCACCGGAATCGCCAAATGAGAGGTGTGTCTAGCATATATGAAACTGGAATCGCCAAATGAGGGGGCGTGTTTAAAATAAATGATATGACGCACCCGAATCTCCCAATCGAGGGGCGTGTTTATTATATAGGATGAGCCGGCATGGCCAAAGAGGTGTGTTGAAGATATATGATGAACCAGAATCGCCAAATGAGGGGGCATGTTTTAGCTAAATGACGAGCCGGAATCGCCCAATGGAGGGTGGGGGGGTGGGGGGGTTGTTTTAAGATCGTTGTGTAAGATATATGACGAGCCGGAATAGCTCAATAATAAGTGGGGAGGGTGTTTATTACTCCATACGATGAACCGGCATCGCCAAACCTTTAAGACATATGACGCCACGGGGGCGCGTGTTTGAGATAGATAAGGAACCTGAATCGCCTGTTAATTACCAAAACGCGACATAAAGACACATAGAACCAAAAAAAAAGACACAGCTAACCCATTAATTTTCTATAGCGCTTTAAGGGTTGCTTCTAAGGGTTTATTAGCTATTATGTGGTTTCTAGTACTTATGACTGGTTCTCATTGGAATTAAGCCCCGCAACCAGAGACACAAAGACACAGATAACCAAGAAAAAACAAAACGCAGATAACCCAGTGAACAACCCAACAGCGTGGAAGGTCCCTAGGAAGAAGGGACAAAAAAGACGCAGATAACAAATCATGAAAGATGCAGATACCACCAAAAATAAAGACGCAGATAACCAACAAAATAAAGACGCGGATGACTGCTTCCCCCTCCCGAAGAGAAGCCTGATGCGCATCCTTTTCCGAGAACCGGGAAAGACAAAACTGACAGCCTCTTTGTCGAAAGACTGGGCGAGTTCTGGCGTTACGAAGCTTCGTTCCATCGCGACGTGCACGGGTTGCATGCCCACCCTGGTAGAAAGGGCGTGTGCAAGAAATGGTTCTGGGCAGTTGGAGACTGAATATGATTTTTGCCATACGGACCGTGCAAGGCTCGATATCTTCGGTTTCACTTCGGCCGTCTCTGCTTGCGAGAGGGAAGGCCTCGGAAGCATGTGGAGCTCATGAAAATATGTTTGTAGAGCTCTGCTGCCTACATATAGCCGCAAAGACACTGCGTGGAGGCGCGTGGGAAGTTGCTTTGAAGATCATCCATGACATGAGCGCCTCGGAGATTTGCCCAAGCGCTTTGACCTTCAAGGAGGCAGTGGCTTCACTTGGCAAGGCAAGGTATGCAAGCTTTGCATTGCCCGTCATGTGCGATTGGTGCTAGTGTCTCAATCCGCACCCAGTCCCTTTTCAGCAAGATTCGCTAAAATCTTGTTGGTAGAGGCGGTCAAATGGATGCATGCCCTGGAACTGCTGGTGAGCGCATGGGGACAGTCCCATACTCCTTCTGGCGCCCCGGTTCAACTTGTCAGTCTTCATGCAGCTCATCCGGGGGACTGTGCATCGAGGAGCCGTTGCAGCCGGTGCAGCTTCCATCATCTGCAGGGGGCGGACACGCCTCCATTTGCCTGCAGGCGCCTGTCAAGATGTGTGTCCTGCAGTTGCGGAGAAATGCGGAGAAGCCGTCTTCAGTCCCTGCCCGGCGAGGCCTGCGAGACATCGAGGCTGAGGCGAGACCGTGAGGTCGTGGTGAATCTGACGTGTGTTGCGATGCTCGAGGCACCGCCAAGGCGGGTCATGTACATGCAGCTGCGCGAGCTCGAGGGGGCAGATGTGATTGACACCGGTCTGCATCAGAACAGTGGTTTGAGAGCTGAGGTTGAGAATGACAATGAAAATTGCTCTCAAAAGCATGGCTGTTCGGATCAGGACATTGACGAAATGGATTCGCTCTGGAAACCTGCCGCAGTGAGAGAGCTTTTGGGAACCACGTCCTTGTGTCCGAGCCCGGAAGGAGGATCGGGTCAGACTTCTAGAGAGTTCTGTCGGAGCTGAGTGAGACAGCCCACTTTGACCGAGCAACATCGAAGGCTGTCAGCAAAATTCCGAGTCTCTTGCTAGATGTTGGCCTGGTGCAGTGCAGTGCATCTACGACTACGTCCTACACAACCCCACAGAGACCCACCGAGATCGCATGTATATTTGTACGTATGTACGAATGCATACATGCGTGTAGCCTTGATACGGGTGTATGTATGTGTGTATGTATGTATGTATGTATGTATGTATGTATGTATGTATGTATGTGTGTATGTACGTATGTAGGTATGTATGTAGGCAGGTAGGTAAGTAGATCGGTAGATAAGCAGTCATAACTCTAAGTCCGGTGAGCCGTGAGAGCTCACTATTGTCGCCAACGAAAAGTATGCACAGACGAATGCAGTGCTGCATGCACGCATACATGCATGCAGACATGCATATTTAGACATGCACCTATTTAGAAAAAAAATCGATATACCAACAAGCACACACATATGTGTATGTATGTATGTATGTATGTATGTATGTACGTATGTATGTATGTACGTATGTATGTATGTATGTATGTATGTATGTATGTATGTACGTGTGTATGTAAGTATGTATGTAAGTATGTATGTATGATTTTGTATGTATGTATGTACGTATGTATGTATGTATGTATGTATGTTTGTTTGTTTTGTTTTGTTTGTTTGTATATATATACATATATATATACATATATACAGTGTATATATATATATGTGTGTGTAAACATGCCAATCAATCAGTATATACGATACGTGTATACACATATATGCATAAATGCATATGCATGTATACAAAACATATATGCACATGGACATATTTTCATATATACATATACCTATAAACATACATGTATATCTATACATATTCACATATACGTGCATATACATACATACATACATACATACATGCATGCATGCATGCATGCATGCATGCATACATACATACATACGTACATACATACATACATACATACATATGTATACATGTATACATGTATACATACACACACATGTATATATGTATACACATACATATATGTATGTACACATACAGAAATTTGTAGCCAAATAACTGAGTAAACAATTAAGTCATTAAAGCAAATCTTCATATACATACATATACATATGTATATATATATATATATATATATACACGTGTGCATATGTACGTGCAGGTCATGCAAGTATACTTTATGCATATACGTGCATGCACACATACGCACGCATACCTCAAACATATATACCAATGCTCGCACATGGTCTGTGCGTTCGAGAGTTCAGATGTCAATGCCTCGAGTGTTAAGTCGTGGCAGGCCAGGTGCAAAGATTGGGTTTTGTCCGAGATAGGGTTTAGGGTTGTGCCGTTGCTCTTGTCGCAGTCCTTACGTGATGCTGGCTTGGGTAGGTTGCAGGAATGGTTTAGAGAAAGGCTTTGTGCACGGCGTACGGGTAATGGAGGGTTGAATGGTTCTTCCTGCGCAGGTGTGTTGTATGGCGAAGGATTGATCTAGGAGTCTAGAGCAGGGTTGAGGGGCAGGCATAGCTGTAGAGCCTTGCTTCCAGAAAAAGTCGAAGGTGTACCATTTAGGGCCTAGGGTTTGTACACGGTGTGGGCAGGGTTTTCGGTTTAGGGTTTAGGTCTTGCAGTGAAGCTGCTGGGGCTGCTTGCTCCAACTCCGGGCGAAGTGGAAAACCTGTTGCACAGGTCTTGCGGCTTTGAGGTGCATGAGTTCGTATTTCAGGGTTTGCGCACGACATGTGCCGAGGTTTAGACTTAGGAGATCTTAAGATGCGGGCTTAGGGCGTGGGTGGTGAAAGGCTAGGTGTTTGCGGCGTGACGGCCGCTGTAGGGCTGGTTAGGGCATCTTTTGTACAGGGATTGTGCAGAGTTTCGGTTAGCTTGTCAGGGGCTTCACGTCTGTGTGGGTCCGTCCTGTTCAGAGACAATGTCTCATGATACATGTTGTTACGAGGCAACAATCTTTTGCAAGTCTTATGTCTTACCAGGAGTCAGGAGATGGAAGAGATCGTAATCCTTTCAGAAGAAGCAGGAGATCTCTGCTTTCCTGTGTCCTAAAACGTCCGCGCCCATTCTTCGCAAGCCCTTTTCACCAGGACTTTTCAAGAACTTGTTGAAGCCCGCAGCGTGCTTCAGGCACAGATCTCGCAACCTACGCGCAGCAAGCCAAGTTCCGCGGTGACTGTCACCAGTGAAGGCTGCCTGGGGCAGGGGTTAGCAATTTCTGGGTATGACCTGAGGCATGGACATGTTACACCCTGCGTGTGTTTGAAGGAGACAAGAGCATCAACGCAGCGCCGTCCCGGAAGGAAAGTGTTTCGCAGGGGCCATGGTTTGGGATAGTTTTGTGCTGATCACCGATTCCCTGGAGAGGCAGTAACCAGATACTGGCAAATGCCAACACTTGTACATGATATGTTGCTAGCACTGCGAAATTGCCCGCAGCTCCTTGGCACAAGCTGGGTTTAGGGGTGGCGTTCCGCTGGAGAGGACGCCCCCAGTGACTTGACTGCATAGGCATGACTCCTGTCGCCGTGTTGTAGCTCTTGAGAAGACAAACTGCCCACGCGAAGCGGAGGTGACATATGGATGGCAAAGATGGGGGTGCCCTTGGAGGGGCCATAGGCCCGAAATGTTGCGATAATGCAGTTCGAGCTGTGCTTCCGGTGTGTCCAGGATCCGACAATCCAGCGATGATGGGGTGCGGGTGCGGCACGGGCGGCATGAACCCAATGGGAGGGATGTGTGGCATGGGCCCCATGTGTGGTGGAGGGATGGCAGGAATGCCCATGGGCGGGGGAATGATGGGCAAAGGAGGAATGCCCGGGAGCATGCCAGGCAATATGCCCGGAAACATGCCAGGTGCCATGGGTGGAGGCATGGGAGGGATGGGGACCATGATGCCAAACATGATGGGCAACATGGGCGGCACCATGGGCAATGGCATGATGGGCATGGGGGGCATGAATCCCATGATGGTCGGAGCCTTATACTGTCGCGTGGTCTTGAGACTTACGGGTCGCACCTCCCTGGTGCTTCAAGGCCATGATGGGCATGATGATGGGAATGCAGGCCGCAATGGGTAGTGGCGAAACAGCCGATGCAACTCCCACCATAAAAGCCGAAGACAAGCATGCCTCTTGGCAGCAGAACTGGCATGGCGTCTGGCCACCTGCATTGACATGTCGAGTCAGACAGAGCTCTTGCAGTGCCGAGGTAGATGCTCGAGTCAAGGCGATCTGCAACGACTTTGGCATCAGTGGTGACACTGTCATGAGGCAACTCTGTGTGTGTGTGTGCGCGTGGAATTTAACTCCCAGATGACATGCTCTTTTTTCCCGTGCAGGCTAAACGATGCAATGAGAGAACGAGAAGACTACGATGAAGACCTTCAAGCCCTTCACAAACTGATGGAAAGAGCCACTAAGGACTCACATGTCGCGTGCATCCTGAAAGCATGTGCGGGATTGAGTCGGAAGTGCCTCTTCTGGGTAAACGAGCACTTTCCATGGTGATTTCCCCGTGCAGGACGGCAAGAAGCCGCTAGAAGTGATGCTCGCCCAGATCCGGGCAATACGGGCGAACCGATTTCCAGGGAAGGTCGGGCATGTGCAGATATTTGTGCTATCTCGCTACTCACCCCTTGTCGTTGTTGGCCAGGAGCTTCTGGATCCAGAGGTCTGGGAATTTATTTGTAAATACAACCTCGACGACCGTGTCATGAATCGGCTCATTGACACGCTGAACAACCGAAAAAATAAAAGGAAGGACACCCTACAGGTACGCTGCGGATGTTGCTGCGCTGCGTTGCATCATTGCATTGCGTCTCCCTTCGCCCAGAGTCTCCTGGTTGCAGGCTTTGAATGACCGGCTAGGGAACGCCCAGCAGCCCACAGGCCTCGGCCTTTTGGCAGGCAGCTCAGCCTCTCAGCGTCAGGCTCTCGATATGGACTGGACTGGCACTGACGTTAGTTTTCTGAGGTTAGATTACTTGAAGGCTTAGACGAGCCGGGTCCTCAGTGCCTCAGCAGCTTCAGCCTTCGGTGCGGTCGATTTGGAGACTTGAGGACGGGCCGCCTGCCGTCACCACCCAGGCGGCTCGGTGGCTCCGGGACCTTCCGTGGCCCAACTGCAACTGCAATCCTCGTGTTCTTCCAGTGATTCTAGTGGCCTTGCCAAGGGCCCACCGGCACGTTCTTGCACCCACAATCATCGCGAAGCGCTCAGCTGATGTGTTTTCCGTGATTGCATGGCTGGATTCATGATGCTTAGTGGCTGAGGTCCCGAGAGGCTCGTGAAGGTCGCGAGCAGGAAAGAAGCCGCCCGGATACTCTATTACAAGATTGTCGTCCACCACACTGCCTGTTTCAGACAGTTGATGTCGAGTTGCGTGGGGAGCTTTCTTTGGCCTTTCGGATTGCTGGTCTGTTTCGAGACGGTGAAGGATGCATTGGCCCAGCCGGAGCCCTCGAGTCCATTCCCAAAGCCACGCGATGACGTGTAATGACGTGTCGGTATCTCAGTCATCTCAGTAGTGCAAGTTTTGTTTGCTCGAGGTCGAGGCCGGCGCTCCGAGAAGCGCTCTCGCTCGCGGTCCCCGCGGTCGCGGGGCCGAGACTCGCGGCGCTCCCGCTCCGGGCGGCGACGCTGAGAGGTGAGAGCGCGGCAGGGAGGGAGACGTCCACTCTGATCCGCGGTCCGCACCTCTTTCCTCAACCCCGCAATTCACATCCCAAATCAGCTTCTACAGTGAATCAACACCCTGTCCCTCATAATGTATGCGGCGGCATGCAGAGCCACCAAGCTCCACGAGGATCCGTGGCAAAATCGCTCCTGCACCCTCCGAGTTTGTCACAATGCGGAGGACAGCGAGCACAGCGCTGATTATGGCACCCAAAGAAGGAAAAAGGGCCTGCTGTGTGCGTGGACTTTATTTAAGCAGGGGCTTCGTCGGGATGTTGGGCACCAACGAAGAACACAGCTCACGAAGGCATTCACGAAAGTAGTTCGGTTGTGTGCAGTTGAGGCAGCAGTAACATATGCAACGTGATGTCAAGTGTGCATACATGGATATTGAAGTCAGGCACAGCTGTGTCGTGACCCAATGCTGCAACACGCAGCAGTGAAGAGTATGGAGTGCACGCTTCTGAGGCCTTCTCCTGTGACGAAGCAGTCGACCGCTGTGACGCCGAAGGCAAGGGTTTGCCCACAGTCTGATTCGCTCTTTGCAACCTGGTTCGGATCATTTTCAAGCTGTCCATTTGCAATGTTGGCTCGCAGCTGCGATTATGTTCGCGAAAGGCAAAGCTGGCAAGCAGAAGCATGGCAGCCACGGGCTGTATGAGAGCAGCAAGGGGCATTCAGGGAAGCGCGGGAAAGGATCCTGGAAAGGAGAGCGCGCATAGCGTGCCCCGATGCCACGGTAGCACTCGTCTAGCTGCCTGTAGATCCGCAGCTGTTGCTGCTTACTGTTGCTTACTGGCTTACTCGTCTTTTTGGCTTGAGGTCTCTGCTTTGTGATTTTGGTGTTTATTGTAGCAGCAAAGCATTCGGGGGAATTGGCATCATTTGCCAATGTTGCAGGTTTTCATCGTTGCTCGGACCTTATCCTCCCATTGCGGGGATCGTTGGGCAATCTCCAGACCCTGCTACAAACGGATTGGGGGTGGAGCAACTTGGCAAAGCCAGCCTGTCCAGCGGGTCCCAGACCTCGCAAATCGTAACCGAAAAAGGAGAGAAGCTGGACAGCAAATCGGTAACTAATTAAGGCAGGGGGGAGTGGGCAAACCTTCCGCACTGATTGTTTCACGTTGTGCGAGTCGAACGGCGGCGGCACCCGGTGTGTTGCAGAACCTGTGTCGAAAAGGAGCCAGGTGCCAAACTACGGTGTCGGCGCAGTTGCTGTGCTTGCAATTGGCCTGCAGCCGCAGGACGTGGAGAAGAAGAGTTCCGATGCCCCACCCCTTCTTGTGACTCGACGTCGGTGGAGAAGCTCTGGCAAGGCCGATGCTTTTCATATGACTGTGGGGGCCCCTTCTTCATTTCGGACGTGAGTTTAGCTCTTCGTTGAGGCTTGGAGCCCGAGCGGGGCGACAGTGACCGGGCCCTGGCCCTGAAGCGGCCGATGTACGCCTTCGACAAGGGCCATGTGCTTGGTGGTGCTGGGGAGATGTACTTCGAAGTTCTCGGCAGGTAGGGAGTGGAGGGACAAGCTGTCCTCTGTTTCTCCGTGTCTACCTCGCTGCCTGTCCGACTGCGCGAAGCGAAGCGTAGCACTCGACGGGATGGTGGGTTCTTTTTGTGCAGTTTTTGTTTTTTTGGTTTTCCCTTGGAGCCTCTAGCAGTCCGTGGCTGAGTGAGGCAATCATCAGTGAGTCACGCAGGCAGGCAGTCAGTCGTTCGGTCAATCAGTAAGACACTAGGTCAGTCCGCTCGTCGGTCGGTCAATCAGTCGACTCATGCTCCCGCTCGGTTATCGAGGCAGTCAGGCACCGTATCTAACGTCTAGTACGCATGGAAATGTAAGATATAAGGCATGAGGACTGTATGATCTGTATACGACATCTATATACTTGTGGTTTGTATTGCGTGCTTGTCTCTCAGTTTCTCTTTCATTCCGTCTGGGTATACTTCTTCTTCTGTGCATGCTGTAAACATCGCATCTGCGGCAGTATTTACGTTGGAACCAGTAAGTTATATGCTCAGATCAGGTCACAGACATCAGGAAGATGATATGTAGCATACGTGGTTTTTTCTCTCAGATGAGCAGAACATTGTAGAAGTTTTCAAAAAACGCCATGCTATCAACCAGCAAACTACATTAATACCCAGATGAATCCATTACAAACTCGTGATTTGCGCAGCGTGCTTGAAAACATCATGTGGGGGCTGCCGCCGCGCTCTCGGTAGCTCCCAGGCTTACTTCGGAATGCAAAGCTGGGATCAAGACTTCTCAAGAAGAGGATCAGCAGTTGTCATCAGGATGAAATGCAAAGTTGATTCTGTAGAGACAGTACCAAGGAAGGAGGAAGAAGGGAAGGTACGTACCCCCTCCCCGCCCCTCGCCCCACCACATAAACATACTTCCCAAGATGCGTGCTTTCAAGGCACGTTTGCGCATACTCAACCACCCCTGACCCAACTGCATACCTCCCCCTATACCCGAACACCACTTCAGGAAGCGATTAACCGCCATCGCCTGCGGGTTTAAGGCATGTGATCAACTGCTGTCGGCTAGGAATGGGGGCGGGCTCAGGAAATCTGGATAAGCATCAACCGACATCACCTAATGACTCGGGCTTAGACATGTGATCAGCCGCCTTCGCCTCGCGAAGCCGCCATCGCCGAGGAACCGGTCTGTATCAAATCTGATCAGCCGCAATGATCAACCAGCCATCGCCTCATGACCGGGTTGAGTTGAAGTAGCAAATCGATCACCATCGCCGGGTGTGGGCGGGTTTTAGAAATGTGGTCAACCGCCATTGTGTAAGATCGCCTTATGAAGTGGGCAGGTTCAAGAAATACGATCAACCGCCGTTGACGAGGGTCTAGGTTTTAAGAACTGCGACCAGCCGCAATCGCCTAGGCAAGGGACGGAGTTTAAAAAGACTGAAAGGGTACATCTCATCAACCGCCATCACCTGATGCGGGCAGCGGGCTTCAGACATGTGTTCCATCACCGCCGTCGCCTACTGAGGGGGAGGGTTTAGGACATGCCATCAACCGTCATCACCTAACGAGGGGGCGGCGTTAAGATATGTGTTCCATCGGCATCGCTTGGTTTACTTAAGAACTGTGATCAACCGCCATGGCCGAATGAGTGCAATCAGCCGCAACCGCCTAGTGATGGGGCCGGTTGGGCAAATCTTATCAAGGCTAGAGTGGTGATCAATTATCCGCCATCGGCTAATGAGGTTGCGCCCTTGGAAATGTGATCAACCGCCATCACCACATGAAGGGACGGGTGCTAATCAATGTGATCAACCGCAGTGGTCGAATAAGGGGGAGTCATGAACCACCATCAACTACTCTTAGCACCACTGACAGTTGGGGTTTCAACCGCCATCATGTGCTGAGTGGGTGGGCTTGCCTCATGAGGGGGCGTGTTCTTAACAATGCAATGGACTGCCGTCGCCTAATGAGGGGGAAGGTTCAGGACATGTCATCAACCGCCGTCACTAATGAGGGGGCGGGGTTAAGATATGTGTTCCCTCGCCATCGCCTGGCAAGGGGGCGGGTTTTAGACATGTACACAACCGCAATCGCCGAATGAGGGGGCGGGCTTAGGAAATGCGATCAATCGCAAACGCGCAGAGATGGGGCGGGTTAAACAATTTTTTTCAAATCGGCATCGGCGACCTAAGGAGGGGGCAGGCTTAGGAAATGTGCTTCGCCTAATGAGGGCCTAAGAAGGGGCCGGGGTTGAAGCAATGTGAGCAACAGCCGTCGCGTACTGAGCCGGAAGGTTCAGGACATGAGCACGTGGTCAACCACAATCGCCTCAAGGGGCGGGGGGCGAGCTTGAGAGTTGTGGTCAACCGCAATCGCCCAATGATGTGACGGGCTTCACAAATTAAATGGGAAGAACACATCTGCGCGTTCAAGGAGACAGTAGCACGAAAGGAGAAAGGAGGGAACATACGTACCCGCCCCAGCCACACACGCTCATACTTCCCAACTTCCCAAGGTACCTACCCTGAAGGTGCTTATCTGCATGCGTAATCCCCTTCCCAACGACGCACTACCCCTGTACCCCTATACACATTCAAGAAACGTGATCAGCCACCTTCGCATGATGAGGGGACGTCGCCCAGCGGGGATGAGCGTCACGCACCTGCCATCACCTAACATTGGGGCTCGTTCGTCGCCGAGTGAGCCTTCCGGCTCCGAGGGGGTGGGTTGATCAACCTCCATTACGCAATGAGAGTATGGGGTTGAAGGAATGTGATCAACCGGAATCGTCGGGGGCGGCTCAAGGCACTGTGGTCAACGCCATCGCCGAGAAGGCGTGAGTAGTATGTCTGATCAACAGCCCCGAATGAGGGGGGGGGGTTTGAGAAGTGTGATCAACCGCCATCCCGACGCGGTGGGCCCGCGACATGTGACCCACCGGCGTTGAAGCAATATGATCGAACGCCATCGCCTAACGAGGGGGCGGCTAATAAGTTGGCGGGCTTCAAAACCTGATCAACTGCCATCGCCGAATGACGGGGCGGTCTTAAAATATGTATTCAACCACCATCTCCTCATGAGGGGCCCGGGTTAGATCAACCACCAGCACCTCATGTTGGGGCAGGTTTGGAGCATCTTTTCACCGGGCACTTGCGACGCCGTCGATAGTTTGCAGCGACATTGTCATTCCCAACAAATTTGCAGCAACGCAGGACAGCAACTAGTGACTAGTCTTCAGGGTACAGCGAAAGGCTGAAACCGTCCATTTCAACTGACAGCCAACGCCTGCCCGACACTGCTCGCCCGACACTGCTCGCGCGACTTTGCTCGCGCATGGGCGCGAGACAGGACGGTACAAGTTCGAACTCTCCCATAGCAACGACACGACGCAACCCAAGCAAAATTCAATTCAACCCCAGAAAGACAAGCAAATCAATTTCGCAGGCAAAATGCTCCGTTTGTTTTTTTGCGATGTTCCTTCTAGTCCTAGCTTGTTGCTTGACTCAACCCACTGCCCGAGCTCGGAGGCTTAGCCACAAAACATGTAGGGTTACTAGGGTTTGTTTCTCTCTCTTGTTTGTTTGTCTCATCGAAGAAGATGTGCACCACAGCCAATCGACCTTTCGTCTCTGTAAGTGTGGTGCGTTCAGGTTTCGTTTTTCGGCGAAAACTGTACCGCGTGCCTTTGGCTGTCGCCATGGTAATATCCGGGAGATGGTCCAGTTCCAAAATCAAAAACACGTTTCCGAAGCAGCTTCGTCCCCGTAACTGTTGTTTTTCACCGGTGTTTCGACATTGCTGTGGGCCGCGCTGCAATTTCTGCTGCATGCTAGGTGGTGCAGAAGGTTCACCGTGCTGAGTATTCGATGCAAGTCGCCAAAAAGCCCCCAGCTCCAGCCTGGAAAGCACAGAGCCCAACCTACGGTCCTGCTTAGGCAGTTTTCTGCATCAAGAATGGCCCTAGCTAAAGTGGCTGGGCCGTCCCTGCTTGGTTCCTCCCTTGGGAACCCAGTATGAGGAAAC